GCTGACTTCATCACAAATTGAGGAATGTACAGCTGTGAAGCTGACAGTAAGTACAAATAGTTCATAGTTCAGTCAATGTTATCCTGTCCATACATCGTGTATGCAGAATAATTCAGGAATATATATATCTTTGTTTAACATCTTTTATCAAATATCCTAACCACACATTATAAATGGCAAGTGAATGTATTTGGTAGCGCATATAAGACCTTTCTGGTGAGAATTAGCATATTAGGTAGGAGATAATAACCGGGCGTAATTAGCATATTAGGTAGGAGATAATAACCGGGCGTAATAGAGAGAAATATACTACGAAATAGCTCTTTATGTCACGTTTTTTTAGCAAATACCAAATAGTGACTTATATAGTGTGTAAATTTCCAATTATCCCATCGTTTCTTAGATTATACTACGAAGAGCCATGTTTTTTAAACACCTACTAGTGTGATAATCATAAATACATTTCCAATTAGATTTGGGATTTTATTTGTGTAAACTGACATTCTAATATATTTGAGGGGTCACATTTTACCCGCAGTGTAGTGCGCGTTTTAGATTTCGTATTCAAAGTCCATGACTAAAACGCACATGACGTAGATGGAAGAAGCAATGTTACTATATTTCAACGAACTAGCGACAATGCCGATCATGCACCATTTTCGCACATGAATTTCTGAACATTCTTGACAAGATGTTTTTATATCCTATATGCCCTTTGTTATTTAGCCGGTAATTCTAATCCGATTCGACCAACTTTTATAAGTCAAAGGAATGATCTCTTTAGCTAAATAATGGAACAATATAACGTTGTACAATACGGTAACAAGTTGTCACTAATATATACATTGTTCACTGGGTTAGCTATGTTAATGAGCTACTAATGCATACGTTGTTTTTTCACTGCATCGTGGATTGTAGTCACTTCAGGTAATTATACAAGTCTCTTCGTCTATGGTATACATAATAAACATTTAAGAACACATTTACAATGTATAATAACCATACTAACATTTAAATAGTTAAGAATGTCTGCACGTCACAATTTGACAAATAAACATCACAAATTTACTTATTAACATAACAATTTATTTAATTATAACATCACAGATTTGCTAATTAACATAACAATTTGACTAATTAACATCACGTTTATTTGAATCTTGAATTAGTTGATTGTCTTGACCCCGGGAGTCCAGACAATGGATACCAAGTCGGCGTGTCCTCATTCGTCCACGGATCTACTGTGGAGTTTAAATGTGACTTGGGGTACGAACTTATTGGTGTTTCTCAGCTCACCTGCTCGAACAGAAAGTGGGATACTGAACTTCCACAGTGTCAAGGTAAAATGCATATATTATGTTAGCGTCATTTTAAAGAAACATTTCAGTGGCTACAAACATCATGTGCCCACTGATGTGTTAACATACCGACGATTTGCCATGAGTGCACAGCATATTGTGTATAATATGTATAATAATGATACAGGTTATATAATCTATGGAAATATATGTACTTTCGCTAAAGTAATTGTAATTTGCATGCACATATATTAATATAAAATGTTTGATTTATATAGTGTGTATGGCTTGCATATTATTAGACTTTATATAACATAAAAACACGCATTTTTCACGGGATGTAACGTGAGTCATGTGTGTATAATGTTTTATTTCAAATTGAATACATGTTATTATTGACGTGTTAGTATTATCTTGATCGCAGGACAGCAGAAAGATGGCATTATGGCATTTGCAAACAGTGGAGGTAATGTTTTACACATTAATAATTACAGAAAATCTAAACAACATCATTGTACGACACATTTGTACTATATAATATTTGTTCGTGTAAATGTATACAAAACTACTTATCTATCGAGGGGTAATTAAACTTTTATTCATTACATTAATTGAAACTTAAGTAATTGAACTAAACCGAACTGTGACGTCAATGAATAGAAACAAAAATATGTTTGTATTCACATTATTCCGTATTTCACTATGTACAATGCAGATTACATATATTCCGATTTTACGTTAATTCATTCAACATTAATTCTTTCACGATTTGTCTTTGTTTTGTGTATATTTTTTCAATTATCTTATAATGCCATTAATTATCTTGTATATCTATCAGAATTATGCACACTGTATGATATGAGAATGAAATTTTATTATAATATAATGTCCGATAAATCAATTGAGTTACAGAGTCTTAACAGTCTAGAATTCCAGAATTGCGCATTTAACCTGAATATATGCGCGTTTCAGAATTATGTCCATTTTCGTGTTGTGTGTCATAAAATGAAGACTGTGGAAAAGGACTCTAATTTCGAACAGATGTGGCAATCTGATGTATAACCGTCACGAGAACACCTTGTAGTTTCTGGTAATTAAAATATAAAATCATAAACAGTTGTATGTTCCTTATATATAGGTTTTGTTCCTGATTATTATTGGGATTTAAGTGGTAAATGTAGCATCAACGACAACGACCCAACATTGTGTAGTTTTAGCTGTGCTGACGGTAAAGTGTACTCTGTTGTTGGTGATCTCAACGGCGAGCTATTCACATCGCAGGCGGCTCTGACAGAAGCGCCAACCAACTCACCTCATCGATGTGCTTACCAGTCTAATGGTGATTCAGTTGTCAACTTTGGTAACTTTGAAGGCGAGTGTCTGAGTCGCATTGCTGACTGCCCTGGGACGACAAAGGGAATAAGTATATCTGTTTGGTTGAAAATTAACCAAGCTTTGAACACAGGAGAGCGTTATTATTTCTCATCTGGCGCCCATTCAAGGAGTGGTCGTGGTGTGGCGCTTTTCTCTGATTCCAATTCCGATATTGATTTACGTTTTCAAGTCAACGAGGATGCGATCAACTTTCCATGGTTCGTCGACATACCATTTCCTGACAATGTATGGTTTCATGCCGTGTTTACATTTGTTCAATACACTCGTCTTGTAGCATATATTGATGGCGTAGAAGTTGCCAGATCAGAGACTCCCGATACGTCTACATTTCTTCTATCGTGGCAGTATAAATGTAAGTCGCATTATATCAGTCTACATTGTGTAAATGTTTTAACGCTCTAAATTTGCCATACTACACAACAAACGGTCATATGACATTACAGTATACCACGTATCAGTGTTCAGTCCTAAAAAAGTATTTAGTTTTCAAATTAAAATTCTATTTGCTCTTAATAGCGTTTGTGCTCAATCTGTCTTTTTTCTGAGATGAAAAAAGGAGATGCATTTGGAATAACATCATTCTGTTACCCGCAGATTTTGGCCTCATGTCAGACACCAGTGATTTCATGGTGAATACTATATCTGGCTATGCTGCAATTAGCGACCTGAAATTATTTTACCGAGAATTTACATCAGATGAGGTTCAAAGGTTACACTCGGCAGAAACTGGTGGTATGTATACAACACAGTGTTTATAGGGAACTAATCAGCTTCTAAGCGGACGAGGGCGCTATTAAAGTCTTTAAATGTTCAATTATATTTCCATAATTATAGATTTGTTTTCAATGCAAATATTCACACTGATGTACATGTATCGAGTATGCCTCAACGATAAATCAAGAAATTGTGGTCTATACGCATGGGTAGAAAGCTTTCATCTGTTTTGAAATCGACCTAACTACATTTACGTATGTACGTAGAGTCGAAAACAACACCAATTGTCGGCTTTAATCTGAATACATCACATTATCAGGAAATAGTTTAGGATAGTATAGAAAACATGTAAGATGCGTCTACTCAGTTCCCCCAACTGAAATGACAGTGCGTACATCTAAGTATAAACATTGCTTTTCCACAAATCTTTGTCATAAGCCACCTCGATCAGCTCTTTACTACTGTTATCCGTCCATGCCCTCGGATTTTCCCCAATCCAATCCAATTCTTTCCATTATTGTTCTTATCAAAGTATTTCTTTTTCTATATTGGTGACCGAACTACTCCAACTTGTTTTTCCTCCTAATATCCACCAATCTCTGTCGCATATATTTCTTTGATCATCTTCATTATATACTACGCCTATGGTAAACCCAGTAGTCGTCTGTAGTTTTTATTTGAAAAGCTCTAAGTATCTTCACAAGCGTAAGTAATGCTGATATCACAATAACCTGCACGTCTTATGTAACCTTGTTCTTCCCATTCCATACTTATTACAGATGTGCCAAGTTTATTTCTTGAAGTTTTGTCTTTTTCCAATATCCCCATAATATAGTCAAGATTTATTTATTTCGCAGGATTTGATTGTATTGATCCTGGAGTACCAAGTAATGGCATGCAAGTTGGAATTCCATCTTTACGAAATGGTACCAGTGTTATGTTCACATGTGATACAGGGTACACACTGGAAGGGACTGACGTAATAACTTGTATAGAGGGCGTATGGTTAGACAACATTCCTGTCTGCACAGGTATAATTGTAAATGATAAACAAAAACCTGGAAGAACTTGAGATGACACGATTGTTTACATTTGTCGATAATGATGCACACACGACATCATTTATGAATATGTGTTTGTATTTGACTTAGTTTCGTATTATAAATAGGTAAGACATGCATTACATATCTCAATGAAACTATATACTTAAAACCCCAAAATAATGAGTTCATTTCATTTTCAATTATATTACAGTTGGACTAACATTTGCTCAATGCGCAGGTGCGTATCATTAATTCAGTGGTTCTACACAGTGGCATGCTCGTTATCAGTGCAGTAATTGTATACAGAAACATGGTCTTTATGAGTTCAGTGGGGTTGTACGTGCGAGACCTCGTCAATCAGGGGCGGATCCAGCAAAATGTATTGGGGGGTCTAGGCCTACAGGTCGAATACACGGGGCCGTGCGATTCGGACGATGTTATGCGTAATCCAGATGCATTTTCATGCGTTTGGAGGGGTCCATGGCCCCCTGTCCCCCTCTCTGGATCCGCCACTGTCGTCAATCATTCAGCGATTGTGCACAGGGACATGGTTGTCATATCAAAACAGTGTACAATTTACAGTATGTTTTAAAATCGTGACCCGAATCTGGGAAGTTTACACGAATTGGCTCCAATCAAAAACTATTTTTGAAAGGGGGGGGGTAATCGATGAGAATAGTGACATTGTAAAATATTTATAACAGAACATAAATGTCAATAGCAATATAATTCAACGACAAAACAACCTTAAACAACACTCATGAAACTACAATTTGATTTACCTTGAAAGGTTTCCATTATAAAATCCAAGTAAAGTGGACTTATCCTGCCATATAATTCATGATAATGTTCGAAGGAAATGAACATGAATATATTATACATGTTTTGTTTAGGTTTACAACCCGATTACTACTGGGATATGAGTGGCAAGTGTACAAGCGATGACGCTGAACCTATGACGTGTGTAACAGGTTGCAATGATAATGTTATCTATGGAAATATTGGGGGACAGGTAGGGACAGCGAGGCTTTCACAATCAGTGCTCACAGACGCCCCTACCAATTCTCCTCATCAGTGTGCTATTAGTTTCGCCGGTGACAACAATGTTCTTTTTGAATCTTTCGAAACCGATTGTATCTCTCGTATTGACCTTTGCCCTGATGGCATTACGCTCAGTATGTGGTTAAAGATAGACAAATCTTCCAATACCGGTACCAGATCCCATTTTACTTCCGGTGGCCAGACTTTAGTCGGTCGTGGTCTCTATGTATACACGGATTCCACTGTGAGCCCCTTGTACTTCAGAGCCCAGTCTGGCACCAATGTATGGGTGGTATCTGCGGAGTATCCAGACAACCAATGGTTCCAGGCAGTCTTCACTTTTAAGATAGATGACGTAATTACAATTTACATCGATGGATCACATGAAAGTAGTCATCACTATGCCACAGTTGATCCCTATGCAACATCCAACTCAGAAACAGGTAAATATTTTTTAATGTAGTATTTTACCATTAACTCTAAATTAATTATATTTCGGATACAAAATTAAACATTCTGTTTACAATTTCTTTCTGAATAAATAACACGCTGACAATATAATGTTGACTTACAAAATACACATTACAAGTTGTGTCATAAACTGTATTGTTGTTAGCAAATAAAGCTAATTGTTCATTAACATGTTTGACGCACACCTATATATTTCTACGTTTGTCGAAGTAATATACAACGTGTAATGATAATCCTAACATACCTATATATTTCTATGTTTGCCGAAGTAATATACAGCGTGTAATGATAATCCTAGCACACCCATATATTTCTACGTTTATCGAAGTAATATACAGCGTGTAATGATAATCCTAACACAACTTTATATTTCGACGTTTGTCGAAGTAATATACAGCGTGTAATGATAATCCTAGCGCACCTATATATTTCTACGTTTGTCGAAGTAATATACAGCGTGTAATGATAATCCTAGCACACCTATATATTTCTACGTTTGCCGAAGTAATATACAGCGTGTAATGATAATCCTAACACAACTTTATATTTCTACGTTTGTCGAAGTAATATACAGCGTGTAATGATAATCCTAACATACCTATATATTTCTATGTTTGCCGAAGTAATATACAGCGTGTAATGATAATCCTAGCACACCTATATATTTCTACGTTTATCGAAGTAATATACAGTGTGTAATGATAATCCTAACATGCCTATATATTTCTATGTTTGCCGAAGTAATATACAGCGTGTAATGACAATCCTAGCATACCTATATATTTCTACG